AGTTAACTCATTTTTGATAGTATTGAGCATAGATTCGGGATTGGACTTACAGTTTTGCGTATTTGTCGGCATAATTGGAGCACTAACAGTAGACTTACGAGTCTCTACAGATTCTGATAAATCAACTAGTTCAGTAATAACATCTTTTCGGTCTTCAAATTTGTTTTGAGATTCTTTGGCCAGGTTCCCAATGTTTCGAGACATGATTATAAACTGAGACACTCTGACCTGTGTCAAGTACAGATAATGGCTTTGCATTTCTATTAAAATAGACTTCATTTCTATTTAATCTATACTTTAGTTTTTGGTGGACGTTTTCGCAAAGTTCAGGTTTTTTGCCGAAATAGGCAACTTGGTCTTACAAATTCGACTAATCATTAGTTGAGAAGGGAATATTCAATAAATTTCAGGGGCGTATTACGATATTGAAGTAAAGCTTCAAATATATCTTTTTATTCTTCGCTGCTTTTTTTTACAATATTTTTTCCAATGGACACGGCTTTTTCTGCCAAAGCGTTTGACTGTGGGTAGTTTGGATTTCTTCATACAATTTTACAATTCCAGTCTTTAGCAAATTCTTTCTTAGATAAACTAGTAAATGATACATTGTCACAGATTAGTACACCAGGACTACCAAATTCAGCAAAAATGATTGATGACAAGCTCTAACCAATTAGAGTAAGCATCATAGACCACTAAAAATATGCTAGCTCCATAAGAAAAAATATTAGTACCTCTCCCAAGGTCTCCGAGGTAAATCATAAGGTTTAAGAGGCTGTTTGATATTTTTCCTTTCATACTTCTCGCATGAAATTTTCAATATCTTGGCACATTAAACATAATACATAATACACATTACAAAAAGAAAGGACATCGTCAGATAGTCAGTAAAGAAAAGCAGCTAGACATTGCACTCTGTTGAATCCTGCAGACGTTTCGCCAAGATCTCACTTGGCATCTTTAATGCTCGCGATCTGAAAACACTTGGAACTCTATCTCGTTAAGATTATTTAAACAGTTATCAGTACTACCTAGGTTTGTTCAATCCAGCCCTAGTCAAACTGAAGTCGTCTTGTGCATCGTAGAAAGAATTAAAATACCGCTTAAATATTGAGAACATGTCAAAATCTACAGTAAAGGTTTAACGGGTAATTTATTTATAGATTCAAATATTCGTTTGTAGTCAAATAATCCATCGATTCTTCTGTAGTGGGAGCACCAAATGGGCTACGATTTCTAAGACGCTCAGAGCTATGTTCTATTTCTATTCGTCGTTTACACGATGCAACATTCGTCTGATGAATGTTAATATTTGTTATTTGTAAGCAGGAGAATACTTATCCCTTCTTCTGAAAATTCTAAGAGAGGGTAAATATCATAATAAAAGAATAATTTAAGAGGGTGTAATATATATTTTTTTACCTCTAACCAAAACCATAGGGAGCTTGAATATTTTTTTAATTTCTTTAATACACTTGTTTGTGTATCGAAAACTCAAAACCCGATATTTAAGTTGCAATAAATAATTCAGGTTGCGATTGCGATTAAACGGCACTAAACGCACGGGCATGATCGTGATGTCACACCGCTGCTTGTCGATCCATACAAGTTATAGGTCTAGAATTACATTATTTACGTTTATTTTTGGCTCCTGTAACGGTGTGTTTGTATTTAATCTACGACAGTTTATATTTGTGCTTAATGTGCTTTACATGGTAATAATGGAAGCAACACAAAAACAATATTAAAAATCGCACCATCGTGTTTGAGTACAATCCGTAAAACGCCAGATAAACTTTTGATTCGTTTACCAGAAACAGGTGTCACTGTAGCCTTAACGGTGCAAACATTTTTAACTCTTCAAACTTGCACCCATTCTATTGCTGTCTCCACAAAAGACTAACATTAAAATTAAAACCTCCAAGACGAACGCGTTGTCATTCGCTAATGGCTTCTCTATGCTACCGTCCCGCTGGCGCGTAGTCTAACGAGCGGATTGACGTCACAACCGATCACAGCCAATGACAGCCCGTTTCAAAGAGGATTTAAATTTTACAATTTTTAATTGCTTATATTTGACTGTGCTTCTTTTAATGACATAAACTTACTTTTGTAATATTAAAATTTTGTTCAAGTTTCCTACGTGAAAAACTTTATTATTTCAATAAAATAAAACAAAGTGTGGTATTGCTTAGATTTGTTACATAGAACTACGAAATTTTTTTTGTGAACTGTGCTTCTTTTAATGGTATAAACCTACTTTTACAAACAATATATTTCAAATTAAAATTTTATTCATGTTCGTTACGTGAAAAACTTCTTTTTTCAATAAAATAAAACAAAGTGTCGTATACGAGTTGCCAATTAAAAATTCCTCCGTACGTTAATTAATTGAATAAAAAATTAAACCCCAGTGAGAAATTCATTATACGCGCAAACACTCCCGGAAAATCGTCACTGCTAATTACCGACCGAACTACGTACATTACTGCACCGCCATACTCTTTTATTTTTCGTCGCGCTTCTTTGTATGGAGCTTTGATTGCGAAACTTCTCACTCTTCACCTTTTCAAATGCGATTCAAAAGGAATTTTATAACATCCGCGCGCGCTTTGAATGCGCCACGTATTTCCTTACTCAGCTTTCAAATTTATTTGCTATTTTATTGGAGAACGGGATTAGCAGGTGGGATTAGAACCTATTTGAAAACTTATGAAACATGTATTTAGTGGTACTTGTAATAAATAAAGCATAGGTAAAAGGTGTTTTTCCTCTACCAATATTTTTCGAGTCTGTTCTTGTTCAACCCAGCTTATGAAATGGGTCCACAATTCCGAAAATATGTTGAACTGGTATCCCAATCGCTTGACTTTAGAGGAAAGTTTCCCATTATGGGATATGTTGCTAATATGAGGTATCCATCGTTAGTTGTAGGTCTTGTGACGTCAGTCATTAAATTAAAGAAAGCTATTGAACATTTTGGATTTGAGTAAAGCCGTATTTGGTGAATTGTATCTATCCCATACGACAATCAGGAAGACATCTCTTGGAAGTGTCAGGAGAAAGTACAATGAATAGAAACTTAGTGTGTATTTTTAAAATAAATAGAGTGTCATCTATGTTTTAAGAATCAATCAGTTTCCACTTAATAAGGAGGCCATGAACCAATCAGTTTTTCTGCCTCCAAATACCTGCGCAGCACACAACCTCTGCGATGGTCTAACCCAAAGCCTTGTTTTAAATATAAGAGTCTGATGCAGTTAGTCCAACGCAACGTCGAATTTTCTGGAGATTTTGTGATTTATTGGCGTGCTTCTGTTTTTATGTATTTCATTAGAAGGAAAGTTAGAATTAAAGGCCATGGGCAGGCCATTAGAGTTCTCCAAACGATACACCATTTTTACGACATAATCCGGTATTTAACCATGTTTTAAGAATCAATCAATTTTCAGTTAATAAGGAAGCCATGAATCAATCAGCCTTCGAATGCCTGCGCAGCACACCTAAACCGCCGCGATGGTCTAACCCAAAGCTTTGATTTAAATAGAAGAGTTCGATGCAGTTAGCCCAGCGCTACGTCGAGTTTTCTTTCGATTTTCTGATTTATTGGTGTGCTTCTGTTTTTGTGTATTTCATCCGAAGGAAAGTTAGAATTAAAGGTCAAAGAGTTCTCCAAACGATACACCGTTCTTACGATATAATCCGGTATTTCACTTTGTGAATTTTTATGAAGGTCTAACTGCAAGTCTACCTCGCTAGGGTTTCTCTTTGCAACCCCCAATAAACAGATTCGCGATTCCACAATGACGGTCCAGAACCGATACTACGTGCATAGAAATGCTGAAAGCAGACGGATTTGTGTAGAGTTTTATCGGTGAGATTCCTCGATTATTATTAGTCCATGCAGTGAAAAATCTATTCTTTATTATAAATATAAATGAAGTAGGAAATTTAGCTATAAAACAATATTAGAATATTTATAAAAAATAACTACATTAAAATAATTTGAATTTGACGGATGTTCATCATCAGCGATTATTACGTCATCGACCACAATCTTAACTTCTTCGTCGCTCGACATCGCACGTGACTACCAAAATTTAATAATGTTAGTATTTGGTAAGGAACAAATTGTAATAAGATGTATATGGTACTTCAATAAAAATGGCACACCAACCCCACAAATCAATCAATAGCAAACTGGGAAAACATCCATTATAAATCAATTAACTACATAAGATTTTGTATTGCTTTTCTAGGAAAATATTTTAGCGTCAATATGTTATGGAAATCAGTTTAAGTTTTCTAATGTTTTTATTATAGGAGATCAACCTATCGAATTGGCAAATTCAACTTGAAATCAAATAGGAACTATTTTATAAAGCTTTATAAAAAGCACACTAATATGAATTAATATAACAGTTTAATCAAAGAAAATTTCCCTACTCTTAAAATTCAACAGTCCGCACGGCACAGCCCTGGCTCGTGGTACACGTGCTGAAAAGAATGGTTAGCTCCGCTTTACAACAGGCTGGTCTTAAACTCATTCCGAATTCAAAACCATAAAAGGTTGTAAAAACGGTATATCGTTTGGAGAACTCTACCAGATATAACCATTGAAAAAGCTTATACAAGTAGAGGAAAAAGCTATTAACGAAAATTTAGTAAAAACATGTACCCAAAAAATGAATGGACTTACGGATGTAACACAAGAAATCCTCTATATTGTTTTTTCTTCTTACTTTTTGGTGACCATAAAGCATGGATGGAAATGCGGGTCACAGGTCTAGAGCTTTATAAGTTTAAAAATAAAACGATATGAAAATTATAAAAGCCACATTAAAAATTATATGGAATATTGGGGCTCGATTAAATTCTCTCACCTAAAATATGCTTCGATATTTAAGGGCACTTCAAAAGAAATTCATAATTATCTATTATAAGTCATGCTTGAAGTTTGTCATGAACAAATAATTGAGGAAATTAATATTTCTCCGCAGAACACCTTCCCATTCATTTTGCGAACCTTCGAGAGCCAATCATTAAGAAGAGGTTCTAAGCCAACACACAAGGAAAAACAGGGATGCATAAAATATAATAGAAACAATAAAACCCTATAGAAGTAAGAAAAGTTCCGTAACACAAATTAGTTTGGGGATGAACGGGTCTCCTGGTCCAAACGAAAATGAACCGGAAAACAGTATTTTCACTAGAACCGGACAATCATCTTCAGGAAAACCGTAAAGGAGTATGCCAAATATTTAAATACTTTCCTCGACGTTATTAACAGCTCTCTCTGAGGACTCCAAAAGAAATTTCTTAGGTTAAATTTTTCTGTATTTTTTGTACTGTACAAATTTGCAAATTGATGATTTCTAAGTATCGCATTATTAAGTAGACCTCTAGAAAATATGAGGTAGGCACAGAATTTTCCACCAATGGTGAAACATTAAATGGTACCCTATAATTGGCGACTTTTCTCCAAATTGACCGGCCTTTTTTTTAAATTGTTTTAAAAGTCATATGGTCCCGAAGGGGCATCTAAATATTTTTTAATTAAAATTTGTTTTAAAGTTTTCCTGTTTTTACAATCCGAATTTTAAAGCCAATAGCAAATTTTTAACAAAAAACCTTCACAACTCGCGTCAGTGCATCATAGTTTTGATATTTTTTTAATCGAATTCGGTACATGTTTTAGTTCTTGAACTTTCTGCAGTGAAATGTCGAGTCAAATGTAAAAATTTTCGTATACACAAAATTATTTCTTTTTCCAATGTCACCAACTCCCTCTTTTTGATATCCCTGGACCTGAGCACAAATCTTTTTAATATTTATTAAAATGTATACCATGCTAACACAAATAAAAAGTTGGGTGCCCTGTTTTTGTAAGAGAAAAAAAGTCGTTTTAATACAAATCCGGTCAAAAATAGCAGGTACAATCTCGGCAACAATATTTAATGTTATCCATTTTAGGTGCATAAACATGAGTATGCCCGTATATTACCTCTAAGAAGACCTGATAAGTCAGTCACTTTATAGAAAATGATTTTGAAGCAGCCCTCATGAATAGAGAAAAGAAATGGTTCCAGTTAGATGGATGACCTACATATTACACTTTGCCAGTTCGACGATGGCAGGATAACAATTTTCCAGATATGTCGTGCTCAAGACATTTTTTTCCTTGTATTGCGTGCTCTCCGGATTTTATCCCTTTGGATTTTTTACACCCATGGAGTGTAACTTTATTTTGAAAAAAGTGGCGATAATTTTGAACAATTTTTGTGAATTTATCTTACAAATTTTCTAATAAAATAAAATGTATCTCATGAATCGAGAAGCATTTTTGTTTTTCTGTTTTAAATGTTGATGTTGAAATAACATCCAATATTTTATTGATTTTTACGTGCTATTTTATATTACTTTATATTTTAATATTGTTTGCTTGGACTTTTAGTTATTGTTTTTAGTGGTCTTTGTTTTGTTTTGTTTTTTAAACAAAGTGTGTTATGAAAAATCTAAGAAGGCAAATAGTGTGTGTTAAATACATAATAAATAAATCATCCCAATAATGTCCGCCCATGTAATTGATGTAAATGTGTGAAATAATACCAGAGCAGTTAGAGAAAATGTGTTAATCATTTAAAGTTGAAAATAATTATAAAAAACTTGGGACAATTTAAAACCATTCATTATATCTTTAGATGAGAGTGATAGCAGAGACTCAAACTATTCTGGCGACAAAGTTTATTTAATATCTGTTTATTATCTATACAGGGTGTTCGGAATTGAGTTCAGAATTTTTCGTTCAATTTCCGAGCACCCTGTATAATTACAATTATACAGTAAGCAATACAATTTCCTTACTCCAATCTCGGATGGGTTTCATTTATTGATAAACACGTTAATAGCATTATTACAGTCATGAGCATTAATCGTATGCCGGACTATACATTTCAAACAAAACAAGAAAAGCGGAATAATATTGTCACGGTTAAAATTCGCAGAGAACAACCGAGAGAAGAATATTTTTATTTTTCAACTTGACTGTACGGCCGAGAGGCGGTTTGAAATGTTTCCGCCAAGTTCTTTGAAGTGATGCTTCATATCTGAAATAAAGCCGAAGCCGCAAAAATTATAATAAAAACAAGTCTCGCGAACTACTTCACGAAACTCAACCCAGGAAGTATTTATTTTTGGGTTTTATATGCAGGCCTTTGTCTGGCGCCTTATCATCGACCGTCTTAAAACTTAAGGATTAGCTTTTAACCGGATAAAATAAAACTTTTAAAAGCTCATGTTCCTAATAAAAAAAAACTCTTTTTCGAGATGAACTTCAATAGCAGCCGCCTGATCAAATGCAAATTGCGAATTAAGAAGCGGTTGAGGTTTTTTTCTCTAAAAAAGTGAATTCGTTTAATTCGTTTTATAACTGCAGCTTCAGGCAGTTTTAGTTGAAAAGTTGTGTGAAATGTCGATTTTTATTTCATAATCGGCAAAGCGTAGTGAATATAAAATGTCGTTTCTCCATTTACGTTTTATTGTCAATTTAGTTACGAACTTATCCTTATTGCTTACAATTCCTGTATCCATTCACAATGAAAACACCATACAAATACGCCTTAACCTAAAAAAATCAATGGTGGCATTCATCGGACGTAGCAAAGCGCACCCGATACGCAGCGGTAGCAATTGGGAACGTGTATGTGCTGTTGATTTTGAGATTTAGATTTTTTCGAAGGTAAAAAATGTTCATAGATATAAGAAAGTGACCAACTGGTAGAAATTAAGGAAAGACCCGGGCAAACTTTAAGAATGAAATATGGCCGAACAGGTCCGTACTTTGCTTAGAATTTAATTATTTGGGGTTTTGTTAGGAAAGATACTAAACAATATTTATTTATGTATGTATTTATGTTTAAATCTAAAATAAAATTAAAAATTTAAATAAATAACTGGTAAATTTTACTCCGTATTATATCTTGATCACTTTCATCTACACTCGAGAAAATGCCAGCATCGCTTCTTTTTTTCCTCGCTGAAATGTGGCCGTTTCTTCCAAAGATGCTTGCTTGCTGGCACCACGTTCATTGAGAGTCAAATAAACATTGTTTATAACTTTCTTAGTCTCAATAGAATAGTGATAGACTCGAACATATTTTGCATGTGTATTACAAACGAAACAAGAATGATTACTAATAAACTTAAACTAAGTAGTATACCAAACCAAAGAATATTAAACACAGGTGGGTATAAAATTACTATTACGGACTAAGTCTTCTCTTATTCTGGTCGATTACAGCAGAAGTTTGGATACTGTTGATACGGAAATTCTTTTTCAAAAGTTCTTTTTTTTTTGGTATTCAAGATGTCCACTATTGTTAGTATCTCTTACTTTGACAGAAGATCGCAACAGGTTATCTGCAACAATAGTAAATCTAGCACTTTTTTTTGACTCGGTGGGTACCTTTGCTCTTCTGAACATACGCATCTGACTTTCCTTCTGTTTTCAAACATTTATTTCTTAATAATTACGCTGACGATTCTCTGACCTTACTCTTTTCAGGCATATGTGTTTGTATTTGATGCAGCTATAAAGATTGACGAGAACCTAAATTTTCTATTCAGCTCATAACCTTAATACGAGAACATACGATTCACCAAACATGTCAAAAAATAGAACAGTGTCAACACAACTTTAGAAGATGTTATAAAATATCACAACAAAACAAAAGCTAGCGGCCCTGACAGCAAAACAGGAAACTTGAACGGACATGAACACACCCCTAAAGAAACCCAATCAGCAAGCCAAAAAGAAATCGAATACTTTTGGTCCGAGGTCTGCTCCATACCCAAAGGGCATAACAAGAGACCGTCTTGGATCACCAGCGTTAGAAATATTGTGGGAGAGTTGGGCCAAATGAGAGCGCAGCAAATCGTTAAGGAAGTCTTAAAGGAAGTAATAAATGGTAATCACAATTGGAAAACTAATCGGTTCAATAGCGTTTATCGGATACAGAAATTTCTCAAACATTTTTACATCATGAGAAAGAGAGTGATTCTCTTCATAACTATTGGTATAAAAAACTTACCTGCAAGCATGAACAAATATTGAGGAATTTAGACAGGTGGGTAGTAGATCCAGGTCAGATGCCTAAGTTTTTGACACGGTACAACCTATCTGCTTCCTAAAGGGAAGCCATTAAGAAACGCTAACTATATAAAAAAATATGACTGGGTTTATCACCACACATAACATACTTATAACCACGATATATGTAGAGGTATGTGGAAACAGAGCCCATCAGAATCAGACGAGGCATCTTCCACGCTGTCTCATTCCGCCAATTACTAAATGATCTTTCTAATACACTGATAATAGAGTCCAATTACAATCAGCGTCAGGAGAAAGCCACACCATCCCACATCTACTTCAAGCTATACGTATCAACGCCAAGTCAATTTTACAAATTGTGGAACAGTTTACATGGGATGTGCGAATGGAATTCGGAATAGATAGGACCTTAAACACCAAAGGGGAACAAGTCAAAGAACTGGGGGCACCTAGGAACCTAAATGCTCAATTCATGAATAGGCTGAGAAAAGTATTAAAGACCAAATTCAGTACTAGAAATATCATTAAAGTAATACGCAATGCCGACGGTTATAGACTCCCATGGAGTAATTAAATGGACTGCCTATATTTTCGATAGTTTTGGGTTTAAGGTTACAGTAGATCAGGATACAAGGGTCACTGCAACAATAGCGACCTGCATAGACAATATCCTGACTAATATTGATGAAACTTTATATAAGACAAATATTATTGATCCCCGTTTCTCCGACCATTATGGTCAACTGATTTCCATGAAAAAGGTAAAACAAATTTTCACTAGACAAATATCTAGAAGAAAAATTAATAGTACGGGAATCGAAAAAATTAAAAAATGTTTAAATGACATTTCATGGGAGAATTTCTACCTGTTAAATGATATTGCAGAAATGGCCTCTCTTTTAATAAACAAACTTTAGTTCAAAAAATATGAGAGCAGAAGGAAAACAGTTGATTGGTTTAATAATGATATAAAGCAAATGAGAAACAAGTTAACAGCGCAAAAAAAACCACTGATAAAACAAAAAAGCCAGAACATAAACTTATTTAAAAATCTTTTCTCAGCAATTACAAAAAAATAATCGTAAAACCAAAAAAAGAAGCGTTTGATAACTATATTAATATGAATTATGAATGAATTATGAACGAAATTGTTATAAAAAATGTGACCCTTCAAGCACTCTTTCACCCAGTGAATTTGATGAGTTTTTTTACCAATGTTGCTGCTGATATTCTGATCTCTTTAACTGAACCCTGAAGTACAGAGTGAGTACCTGAATAAAATCCCAAATGTAACTTCATCTTTCTTCTTGCACTGGATGGCAGAAGACGATGTTTTAGACTGTGTAATTGTTATCTAATGTTATGCACAATGATGATAGTGTTGAACGGATAACGGAACTTTGGTTCACCAGCAATAACCTTAAACTAAACACAGATAAGACACAAGGTTTTGTTTTCTCAACTAATAATAATCTACTGGAGAGCAAGAATGTAAGGCTCTTGGCAGTGACGCTTAACGATAGTTTAAATTGGGCCTTTTTCATTCTCATCTAACTTACGGCATAGTTCTCTGGGGTAATTTTGCCACAGCAGACCAGGCAATTAAACTCAACAAGAAAGTTGTTCCTTTGATTGCCGGTGCAGGTTATCTGGAGCACTGTCAACCAATTTTTACTTGTCTGTTTATTTATTATCAATTATTAGAAATGCACAAAAATATAGACAGCTTCAGTCAGAACTCCTCTTACCATGACTATTTTACTAGAAATAACAAGCTACTTCGTACTTCAAATTCACTAAACTTAAACTACCAGCTTACGTGAAAGTTCTAAGTAATAGAAAATTTTAAAAAAATATATCTTAACCTTTCTTAAATGGCTTTTACTCGGTCGGGGATTACATGGGTATTCCCGCTGTGATTGAAGTCAAATGCTGTGACCAAAATTTTGTGGATGTTCCTTCCTTTTATTTATTTATATAAACTTCTTGTTCTTTGTTATATACACTGCCATAATTATATCAACAAAACGTGGTCAGTAAACAAAATAAATAACTAAAAGTTCAGATTTTCACGAAATTATATATTTTCACATGACAATTGTTTCGACTATCAAAAATAAAAACAAAACTTCATAAAATAAATATTGATACGTGCAGATAAACGGAAGACAGTCATAGCTATCGATCTCGCAGAATATATTTCAAAAACCAATAATTTTCTTAAACCAAAACTTTTCCAACGTATCAAACACGATCCTAGCGAGTTATATCAAAGACAGAAAGTAAGAAAGGAAGTAATTACTAACTCCACACTATTTAGTGACAAAGAAAAGTATTTTTTAACAATTATGAATCCACAACCGCCGAAATTATATTCTTTAGTTAAATTACACAAGCAAGATATGCCCATTAGACCAGTCGTGTCTTATGTAACGGCGCCAGCAGTTAAACTCTCAACAAAATTAATAAATATTTTAAAGTTCCACGCAGATATTAAACGAAAATTTGCAATAAAAAATTCTTTTGAATTAATCAACAAAATTAAAGATGCTATTGTCTTTTGATGTACAAAACTTATTTTCCAGTATTAGTAGCAGTAGTGGATTTCACCCTCACTCGGAAACAGGTTAACCCATTGGTGAAAAAAGATTTA